CGCGAACCAAAGTACACCCACGCAAACCAATACCACTTTCGGAAAGGTGATAGTTTCCCGTATCCAATGATGTTGTTGGTTTGCAAAAATGTCAGAGAAAAATATCGTTTTGATGAATAATCAAGATTGCAGAATTGCCTGGGGTCATATTGACCCCGAGATACAGACAAAGGGTTAATAGAGCGTCCTAGGGAGAGGGTTTCTTGGATAAAGTTGTGAATTTCATAATATTGAGAAACGCTGCCCAAGGCAGCAAAGACCTATGGTTTACAAGACAAACAAGCCTACATATTAAAAAAAAAAATACCATATTAAAGGCGTTTTCACATTTTTTACGTATATAGGTCTAGGATTGCAATATTTTGGGGTTTGGATAAGATGGAACAACCATGTGATTCCGAACTTTTCTTAAGTAATTCAGTACTTTCCTTGAGTTATTCAGTTCTTTCCAAAGTGGTTTTAAAATTTTATTGAATTAGGTTATGCTAGTGTGTGTTACAGTACTTTACTAAGCGATTCCATACTTATGACTGATAGTGTTTTTAAATTATTCCTAACTTTTCAAGTCTGGTTCACTTCATATTCAAGTGATTCCAAGCTTTTCAGGTGTGATTAACTTAATATTCAAGCGATTCCAAACATTTCAGTTTGAATTCATTTCATTTTAAAGTGATTCCAAATTGTTCAGGTAGAGGAGCCGGTGGTATAGTGGTAAGCGTGATTACTTCTCACCCCAGCAGGCCTGGGTTCAATCTCAGTCGGCGCCGCCGGGATGTTCTGAGGCACAACATCTCTGATCACGCCTTCCTTCAGAAGGGGGAAGTAAAGCCGTTGGTCCCCGGTTCATGAGTTGATGGGTCGATAGGTAGGGTCCAGGTGTGGTAGCTGCCTTCCTGGCGTCGGTAGCATTGGTGCTTAGCACGGAAAATAAGATCGACGGAAAAAAAAAAACAAGGAAAAAAATTGTTCAGGTCTGATTCATTTCACATTAAAGTGGATCTAATTTTTTCAGGTCTGGTTCACGTCATATTCAAGTGATTCCAAGCTTTTCATGCCTGATTTACTTAAAATTCAACTGAATCCAAAATGTTCAGGACTGGTTCACTTAATATTCAAGCGATTTCAAACTTCTCAGATCCGGTACATTTACATAATTCCGAAAATAACTAAGCACTATCCGCTCTACCATGGCCTTCTGAACAACTTTGCAGAAGATTTGAACTTTCTAGGTGGTCGGGATCACGAGATAAAATAATTACAAAAATGCTCACTTGTAGTGCCATAATTCTGAACAATACTAACCATCTTCCGGACGCCCTTGGTTTTCTGAACTACTTTGCTCAAGATTCGAACTTTCTTGGTCGTCGCAATCACGAGATAAAATCAATCCAAAAATGCTCAATTTTACATGCACACTACATAGTGCCTAGCGCAACGTAGTATCAGAATTCAGAACCAAACTGTCCAAATTCCGGACACCCCTGAACAACTTTGCTCAAGACAGCGCCTTTGCAGATTATCAGGATTTCGAGGATTTGTTTATTCAAATGAATGTTGTAATACTTTTCTTAGCGATTCCATACCTATGACTAGTAGTGTACCTTTTGTTATTTCATGTGCAATAAAAGAAAACAATAGAGCAGGGGCCCCAAGGTGTTTAAGACGGCCCTGCCGGATAGTAGTAGTTAAATGTGTTTTTATTTCCATTGATTCCTTAATTACATTTGTTGTTACTTTCGAAGTGATTTAGCCTTTGGAATTGGTTTAGATTAAAATTATCTCGTTTGACAACTATTTAACATTATTCCCCTTTGGAGGCATATTTATTTTGAATTGAAAATTGTATGACCTGCCAATTATACTACGTTACCTCTCACCTCAGCAGGCCTGGGTTCAATCCCAGTCGGCGCCGCCGGGATTTTCTGAGGCATAACATCTCTGATCACGCCTTCCTTCGGAAAGGAAGTACTGCCGTTGGTCCCCGGTTCATGAGCTGACGGGTCGATAGATACACACATAGAAAAATTGATCTAAATTTAGATGCTCTGAGACTGACATATACGAGCGTCAATTTTGACATAAAATTGAGTCATAATATACGCGAAACTCAGCTCAATCAAATGTACTTTCGAACTTTTCAGTCCCGGAGCGCTTAATTTTACATGACATGTTTGTTTACGTCTCATCCTTTATGTCAAAGAATGATTCCCTCTCATGTAAGATTAGGTATTTCTAAGTGTGTGTAAAATCACGTATGATCTTGTGATCAGCCACACACAGCAATCTCTGATTTTTTCCAGGATGAACGTTTTCCGTTCGTCCAATTAGGGTTTGTACCGTCGGGATTAACCTCAATCTGACAGTTCAGTGGTACTTTTACGTGGACTTAGTCGATTTTTTCTTGGGTAGATTTTCTCGATAATTTTTCAGACTGCAGAGAGATGTAAACCACACTTCTGCATTGTCCACGAGCAACATTCTTTCACCGCGCTGTTCCTCGACAATTTTCAAGTTAAAATTCGGAAATTTTAGATTTTTTTTTTTTTTTTGAGAAAACGACTAAGCGCTTGTATTTAAACAGTACCACTGAACTGTCAAAAAGGTTCAGCCGATAAGCACTGAGTTCATTTGTGACGACACGTTGCAGTACCTAAAGTCTGAATTCCATGGACGCCTTGGAAAGACCGCAATCTGTTTCATTTCCCACAAAATGAACTCAGAGAAGTACGTAGAACTTCTAGACAACGATCTCATCGATTTTGATGATAATCTATGGGGTGAAAACTGAATTTTTCAGGAGGACAATGCAACAATTAACTCGTCGAAGCATACGAAATCCTTCCTTCATTGTTTTCATTTCTAATTAGGCTCGAATTTTGATACTATAAACGGTTTTAGAGATAGAATTTTTTGAAAAATTCATATGCCCTTTAAAAAGTAAGAGGTTGTATCAAATACGCGACCGTAGATTTGACAGAGGATTACGAAAGGTAGTTTTGATGTCACAGCGAAAGTATGGTAAATATTAAATTGATTTCTTAACGCATTATCAGTGAAAAGTTCGATAGCTTGAAATTCGGAAGAAATTTGAGAGTTCAGTTTAAGGTGCTCTGTAGATGTCCATCTAGTACAAGCCAATCCTGGACGATATGTCTTGGATTCAAGCCTAGCTCTTTTATCAGTCATTTGTGGCCCTAAAAAGGTTGGAGAGGTTGGAAGCTTAGAAGCCAGTTTATAACAATGCTGTGGATTTTTTCCTCGACGTTCTTAGAGATGATAGCGGTACTCAGCTGTGGATATATTGGTGAACAGTTTGGTGAAGGGCGATGGCATTGTATTCCTCAATTGATGTTCTTCGAGAAGGTGGAAGCAGTGTTTATCCGTTGCATACAGATGATTGAGATTCTGTCAAATGATTGAAAGAACATTTATATACAAGTATTTCTGTCATTTTGTGAACTATTACGATATCAGTGTGTTCAATACGGATGACGCTGGCGAGCTGTATGTTTTTTTTTTTTTTTGAACCAGGGTGACACGCTTGGCATAGATGAACCTCAGCGACTCACGCAGAGCTACTGATTGCGGTGCGGCTTCTTCCTCCTTCTTCGATGAATGTACGGTCATGTGGGCTGCAGCTCGCTGCTTGCTGGCAGCGTTCCGTTGTGTACTGGAGAACAATGTTCACCGCCACGCGCCGAAAGCTCTGCTGCTGCTGCTGCTTATAATGACGACCGACCGGAAACCACCACACACGGTGATTGAATAAGCACCGTTCGGTGAGACCGAAGGGAATTCAATTGGGAAATCTGTGTTAGGGAATCAATTAGAATCGGTGATAGTTTTGATCACCATTGCCACAGTTGGACATTTGTGTAATTTTCAATAGTAACCAATTGAAAATTGATAAATTTTTCTTTTTGCAGATTCGTAGAAAAGTTTCTAATCGATTGGCTTGTTTAGAATTAAAATCCATCCGCTATTGACAGAGTTATATGTTGTCAAAACCTGACCATTTTTCGTAATGCGGTCGATTTTGATTTTTTTTTTAATTGCGCCCCCAATATGTTACCGAAAGACGTAATCCTACGTCAAAAAATTGACTTGAGTCAAAATGGTCTCGTGATCTGTAGAAAAATCACAATCTCTCATACCAAAGCCATGTTGAATTTTTCATTAAAATCGGAGGGTGTCGTTTGCTCATTTGGCAGAGAATTGCTCCTATGAGTTTTACATAGTGTTCTGATGAATAAGATAGGGGACAATTGGGTATACGACACTGGCCTCTCGTTTGTAAATATGCAAACATGAATGCTCGCAACCCACGAAAAAATCCTGTTCCTTTTTTTCCTTGATTTGTTTTCCGTCGATCTTGTTTTCCGTGCTGAACACCAATGCTACCGACGCCAGGGAGAAAGCTCCCACATCTGCACCCTACCTATCGACCCATCAACTCATGAACCGGGGACCAACGGCTTTACTTCCCCCGTCATCAGAGATATTCCGGCGGCGCCGACTGGGTTTGAACCCAGGCCTGCTGGGGTGAGAGGTAATCACGCTTACCACTACACCACCGGCGCCGCTAAAATCCTGTTCCTGTTCTCGTTGAATTTTGACAGAAAAATCATCATCACACAATTATTGCATCTACAAATACTTCACGGTTTATCAATTTCAACCGACTCATGTGTGTCAGGATATATCACAAAAACGGAGCAGAATGAAGGAACAGCTGTTGCTCCAATCTCATAGGACTGATCCATCTCCGAACATCATCCCTTATTGATACACTTGATTTGATTGGAACAATAACCATTTCAACCGTCATATATCTACCGACCCCGACCCCCCTCCTTCATTGCTCGTAATATATACAAACAAACACACGAATTCCGATTCCAGCAAAGTTATTACAGAACCCCAATAAAAAAAACGACATTTACATTCCAATAATAATGTAATGCACACATTTTTTTTTATCTCTCCCGTCTATTCCTCAGATACACGTTCGACATCGGCCAGAGCGATGTCGTGGCAGTCCTGTCGCTGTTCTCGCATTGGCTCTGCTACGCCAACAGCGCCATCAATCCTGTGATTTATAATTTTATGAGTGGTAAGTATGGTATAGGCAGGCGCCACCCGGCATCAGAGTCATTTTTTCCCCCCAGCTCGCTCGGCCTACAATAGTGTAGGAAGGATAGGAATGAATTGAACATATTTTCATGCTTTGGTTGCATTTGTTCGCAAAAAAAAACGTTGAATATGTTCAGCAAATGGGAAATGGAATTCATGTTTAAAAATGATGTCAGGAAAAGGCTGCAATCAGCCTAATGTGGTTTTTCGTATGGTCCCCCGGAGGGGAAACTAGCTTGTCGAGGGACGTAGATTTCTTTGGCAGCATTAAAAGCTTGTTAATGCACACTGAAGCTTATGAGTTTTTATGTGAAATGTGTTCGATAAGGAACAATGGGTACGTTCGAACACCAATTCCAAAGGTTTCTCCTCTCAGAATGCAGCCACCATAAATCGCTGAGCTCAATAATGGCTTAAGGGTTCACAGGAGAGCCTGCAGAAAAAAATAATTATAATTTATACGTAGAATTAAACCCTGGAATTTCACAGCAAATTTGTTTTATTGCTTACGGGCTCACATTCGCATTGAATGGAGATTTATTTACAGTTCGAGAGACTTTTCCGCCGTCACTCTTCCTTCACCTAATGGGGGGGGGGGGGGGTGGTTAGGTGAATCCTATCGAGAAGACATCGAGATATAGACCACCAATGACAATCGGATAGGGTGGGTCCCTTTGCCGCATCGAGTAGTTCAATGAGATTTACTGGCGCAGAAATCAGCAATCATCATCAATCATAATGCGTCCCCATCAATTACCGGTATCGGCTTATAACAGCACCATCTCGTTCTCCCTTTACTTATGTCTCTCATTTCCTGTCTGTGCTTTGCTCGGTGTGCGTCTGCATCTCAAAGCGGACGTGAGCCGAGCACTTGTTCAAGAGCAGAGCAAAGCGAAGATTCCTCACAATCGCCAGCCAACCAAATTGACAAATCGATTCGAGAGGTATTAAACTTTTATTGAAATATCAATAAAAGTATTGAACGAGGACGGATTTGCAAAAATCCATAATCTCGTCACGTTCATTTTCCACTTAACTTGCAACAACTGTCGTCCGATTGAATATGGACGATTGAGATTTACACTGTGCTTTGCCTTTGTGTGCTATTTCGTTGAGCTTCCATTCCAATGCGCTAAACTTCCGACGCACAACAATAACAATAACACATAGCTTTCATTTTATTTTTTCAAAGCGATATCTTCATTGGACATCCAATGAAATTTAAAGGATTTCACCAATGGCGATTACGTGAAGTTTTGCTTCAGTGTAGTGAAATCGGAACATAATTTCCAGAAGGTTGGAGCTGACGTTCGCTTCCGACCGATCCAGTTTCATTTTAACTTCGGAGGTGGATGATGATTTGATGATTGAAGTGAAGCTTCGAGTCAAGACCGAAGTCTAATTTTAAAATTGAGAGGTGATAGATAACCTGACCAGAAATGAATAACAAAAATATTACAAAATTGCATCAACTTCCTTTATTAACGAACAACTGTTGCTATAATGTCGTTTCAGGGGTCCGTGTATAAAAAATCATCAAGTAAACTGAAATAAAATTATGACTCATTTGGTTAGAAATAAAATGTATATCAAAATTTTATCAAAGTGGAAAAATTAACATTAATAATTAATTTTTATTTACTTTTAGTTTTGAAAGTTTTGATTTTGCATATCACTGTCTCCTCTGCAGTAAGAGCAACCGGTTGGAAACTAACGATTGTAAATTGGCTCACTACTTGACTAGCCAATTGGTCCCAAGCAAACGATTAACGTAACCCATTCTAGTCGAAATTCTAGTACTACACTATGTTTATTTTGATTCGCTATGAAAGTTTGACAGATAACATGAGGGGTTCGTGGATTTTCCTATTTTTCGAGGGGTGCATCGATTATCTTGGTACCGAAGAGAGTACCAGAGCTGAGCCAAAAAGTTGAGCACATTTCTTCGGGACCTTCTAGTCTAGAGTTACCTCTATGGTAAGAGGCAATCAATTTGGTTAGAATAATTTGACAAGTTCTGCAACAGTTCTGAAGTTCTGAAACACTTGACGAAGGGAGCAGAAGAGTTATTTTTTCTTCAATTGCACAATACATAACTGATGGATCGCAGATTAGGTGTACTTTCTACTCTGAATTTATTTCATTTATCTTCTGTTGTTATTATCTCTTCAGACAGAATTACAGAACATACCATAGCATCAAATATTTATTTTATTTCTTCCATCGTATGAAATTTCCCAAAGTTAGTCAATGTTTTGAAATAATCTTACAATCAAAATTCTAATCATGTTATAAATATCCTAGGATATTAAGCTAAAACCAAGAGGTGGTCATTCTACACACTTAATTTGCGACAACTTTTTTCTCAGTGTGCCTCACGTGTGTTGCAGCAGTGCCGGCAGTGCATAGAATGCCAGTCATTGGACTGACTTTGTTTGTTTGTGGAAAATTGATTAATTGATTAATTTATTATAGAGACTTTCAGCCGTTGGCTGGCTCGTCTCTGCGTGGAAAATTGAATGTTTGGCAACCCGGTTAATTTGACAGTATAAATGTTTTGTTTCGAAGGAAGACAACAAGCAGTAATCGTTTCTAACTAATTTTATTGTTATGGTCGCGTCGTGGAAGTGCCGTCATCGACAGGCGTATTGACAAGTCTTATGGCACTTGCCACTAAACAAAGCATGATACGCAAGCGTTCTACTACTCCTGTATCGGAGGGCCCTAGTAAGAAAGCCCAAACGGATTCCCCCGCTGTTTACCCCGATGAAGGGCGTCGCCAAGCTTAGGGATGAGCTGGCAAAACTCAAATTGTTCCCGCGATGCAAGATCTGTAGCGTAGGAACTAAGATCATGTGCTCCAGCCTACAGCAGTACAAGTCGGTCGGTGACCTACTGAAGAACAGTACGGTGGAGTTTTACTCCCACGATTTGCCTTCGGTGAAACCATTGAAGGTTGTTTTACGGGGACTGCAAACGTACGAAGCGGCTGCCGTAAAAGATAAACTGGTGAGGCTTGGATTGAAACCAGAGGCAGTCCGCCCAATGAATCGACGGCCTATGTCCAATACTAACTATCGTGACCAACTGTTTCTGGTCCACTTCACGAAGGGCTCCACCACCCTTACTGCGCGGAAGAGCAACATACGTGACCTGTTTCAAGTCATTATTTACTGGGAATCCTACAAACCACAACACCGTGATGTGACCCAATGCACAAGTTCCTCTTCTTCAGCCATGGCACGAAGAACTGTCATATGAAACCACGCTGCGACAAGTGTGCTATGGCCCACTTGACGGCGACCTATGCTCAAGCTGATGACACCGAGCCGAAGTGCGTGAATTGCGGCGGTACTCACCGTGCCACTACTCGGGACTGCCCCAAGCGAACGGAATACATGAACATCAGAAAGAAGGTGGCTACTAGCAACTAGTCAGGCCGACATAGAAACAAACGTACACTACCAGCCATCACGGATGAACAATACCCGGCAATCCAGCCTCGTCACCTGGTTCCAAATCTCCCACCGCTACCCCTCAACAATCAACGAGCCGCACTTGAAGCCCGAACTGAATGTATTCCTTCCCGATTTCCGGCTCGTCAGACGTGACCGCTCCTGGAGGAGTGGCCATCGCTCCAAGACGGAACATCAGTTGTCGGCTGCTATCAAACTTCCAGCTGAAAACAATCGAAGCCATCGGAGTGAAGGTGAGCACATCACTTGGCCCAATTACTATCATCGCGGCCTACTGCCCCAAGCAAACCAACATCAGGGACGGGTCGTCAGTGGTCCTCCGGAAAGACATTATCAAACTCACCCGGAGGTGCGGGAACTTCATCATCGCTGGCGACCTGAACGGTAAACACCAAGCTTGGGGCAACGGTCGGAGCAATAGAAACGGCACCATCCTCAATGAAGACCTGCAAGAGGGCCACTATACCATCTTGGCCCCGGACACTCCCACCCGGTTGAGTCGATCTGGGGTCCATGAGACCATCGACATCTTCGTCAGCAACATGGGACACAACATCTCGCAACCTGTGGCCTTCCAGGAGCTCAGCTTGGACCACTACCCGGTGGTGGCCGAAGTAGGCTTCTCGCCTAACACATTTCAAACATCCCGGCAAAACTACAATTGTGTTGAATGGGATCGGTTCCAGCACTGTGTCGACACCGCCGTCGACTACGAAGTACATCTGGACGCCCCCGAAGACGTTTTTTTTTTTTATAATCCATTTATTTGTAAAGGCTCAAATGCGGTAGCTTTGCGGAGCCAAATTAATTTAAATATAATTTTTTATAATTTTTTTTACAACTAATGTTAGTAGAATGGGGGCCGAATACTCGCGGTTTACTCGAGATTAATAAATACATTTATTTAGAGGAAAGGGGAGGGGCAAAGGGAAAGGGATATTGGTAAATTTTCTTTCTGCTTCATTCGACGGATGAGTGTCACTGCACTGTATTGGCGGGCATGTGCTGTGGATATCGAAGCATTGAAAGCACAGCTGAAATGAAACAAGAGGGGACTTGGGTTGGGATAGTGATGAAAGAATGAAAGAATTAAAACACAAAACACTACTAAATACACAAATCAGCACTTTTTAAAAATACGTAAATTAATCTCATAACATCGAGATCACGGCAAGCCAGAACGTCTCTAATTGGTGTATAAGGTTGTTTCCCTCGGGCCCTGAGGGATTCAATTAGTTCGGATCTCGCCACATGATGTGAGGTGCAAGACCAGACAACATGCTCAATGTCGTGATAGCCGTTTCCACAGGCACACAAACTGCTATCTACAAGCCCTATGCGGTAGAGGTGTGCGTTTAACGAGTAGTGATTGGACATGAGCCTGGACATTACCCGGATAAAATCGCGATCCACGTCCAATCTCTTGAACCAGGGTTTGATCGACACCTGTGGGAGGATCGAATGTAACCATCTTCCCAGTTCACCATCATTCCACTTTTGTTGC